TGAACTCGTATCATTTCTTCTAATCTATCTCGGTTCTCTCGGAATTCTTCAGTCTGTACAGTCGCCTGGAATATCATAATAAATATTTTAGACAAGGAATCACAGTATCATACCTAAACATTATAAATTCTTCAGCTGGGTCTCTTACAAATTATCCAGACATGTTGAATTTAATGTGGTCTGACAGTATTAAATTGATAAACCTGATTAACTCCCCTTGATTGAATTTGACAAACAAAAGCAATATAACTTGTTAACAAAAGACTAAATATGAAGTCTACTTCCTTCGACGAACAATCCAGAACATAAAAATGACGGACCCTTTATGAACGTAAAGAGGGAGACAAAGTGGGAGATATCAAGATGGCACTAGAGTATACCTGTAGTTTTTGAATCAAGGTTAAAAAGACGAGAGTGTATTGCTTGATTTGTAATGTCTGAGATAAGAGATAAGTGTGAATTCATAATTATTAGTCAACGTACCTTTTCTAGAGATTTTTCAATTTCTACAAGTTGTCTAGGATCTATATCTGCTACGGCAGCTGACCCCATTCGACCTTTACAGACCTGATTACCTCCCCCTGATAGAGTACCTGTAATATATCAACAATATACAGGTAAGTTTTTATAATGGTGGAGATTAAACTTCTTTCCTTTCAAACTATTAGTTGACTATTTACAACAAAATCCTAACCATTACAGGTATTGTAAGGAAACTTTTTATTGATTTGCACCATTCCAATTTTCAGTGTTTCTTGCCATTTTACTCGAGCTAAGACTCATGACTTCACTATTTCAACAGCTACTATTGATAATATCTAAGAAAAGATTTAGTGAGATTGAAAACATGTTTCAGTTTTAACAAGATACAATCAAACTCTACCTACCTGCAATATCTATAACCTGTCCTTGTAAAGTAACGACTCTGTATCGTGTTTTACCGTAAGATATCTTCGTAGCTTGATCTAGATCTTTAGCTACTAGTGTATCACGTAGAGCATAATAAAACGCTGGTAGAACAGCTTCATCATTCACATTAACTAGGTCAAATAATCGTGCTACATTTTCTGGACTGGAAATAGAAATTTATTTAAGAGACCATCTTAAACTGTAGACACTCCAGGTGATAGGGATTAAAAGCCAACACTCAAAAGCACTGTCAGAGCCATCAGTGTTTTAGCTTACCTATAAGGAGATTCAAACCTACAGAACCTAATGTGACGATCCAAATTCTACCATTTCAGTTATTTAACTGTCCAAGCAGATCAAAATCAACCTTGTCATGGACAGAGCTATTCCACTTTCCAATCAGACGACAATCCAACTCTCTACTGACTGAGCTATTCCACTGTCCAATCAGACGACAATCCAACTAGCTACCAACTGAGCTATTCCACTGTCCAATCAGACGACAATCCAACTTGCTACCAACTGAGCTATTCCACTGTCCAATCAGACGACAATCCAACTAGCTACCGACTGAGCTATTCCACTGTCCTAGCAGACGACAATCCAGCTTGCTACCAACTGAGCTATTCCACTGTCCTAGCAGACGACAATCCAACTAGCTACTGACTGAGTTATTCCACTGTCCTAGCAGACGACAATCCAGCTTGCTACCGACTGAGCTATTCTACTGTCCTAGCAGACGACAATCCAACTTGCTACCGACTGAGCTATTCCACTGTCCTTGCAGATGACTATCCAACTCACTACCTACTGAGCTATTCCACTGTCCTAGCAGACGACAATCTAACTTGCTACCAACTGAGCTATTCCACTGTCCTTGCAGATGACTATCCAACTCACTACCTACTGAGCTATTCTACTGTCCTGGCAGACGACAATCCAACTCTCTACTGACTGAGCTATTCTACTATCCTAGCAGACGACAATTCAACTAGCTACCGACTGAGCTATTCTACTGTCCTAGCAGGCGACAATTCAACTCTCTACCGACTGAGCTATTCTACTGTCCTGGCAGACGACAATCCAACTCTCTACTGACTGAGCTATTCTACTATCCTAGCAGACGACAATTCAACTAGCTACCGACTGAGCTATTCTACTGTCTGCTACTGAGCTATCACACTGTCCTAGCAGATGACAATCCAACTAGCTACCGACTGAGCTATTCTACTGTCTGCTACTGAGCTATTCTACTGTCCTAGCAGACGACAATCCAACTAGCTACCGACTGAGCTATTCTACTGTCCTAGCAGACGACAATCCAACTCACTACCTACTGAGCTATTCTACTGTCCTGGCAGACGACAATCCAACTCTCTACTGACTGAGCTATTCTACTATCCTAGCAGATGACAATTCAACTAGCTACCGACTGAGCTATTCTACTGTCTGCTACTGAGCTATTCTACTGTCCTAGCAGACGACAATCCAACTAGCTACCGACTGAGCTATTCTACTGTCCTAGGAGACGACAATCCAACTCGCTACTAACAAAGCTATCAAAATATATATATATAAATATTCCCTCTTAATTTGATAATTGACTTACGTTTGTATTTTTCTAGCGGCCTGTTCTTTAAATCGTGCCATCTTGTCAAGAGCTATGAAGGTGGCGACACCAACATCAGCTTGTTTTAGATAGTTGACACATTTCTGGGCAGTATTTATTGTATCTACAACAATATTATCTAACGCACCACAAGCTGTTGATATAGCAACATCATATTGTTTATCTATACCACCTAAATCACCCTAAAATAAAACATAGCACAAATGAAATAAAAGAGTTTTAATCCTACTGTTCTGCACCTAATGAAGATGGGTGATGCCATGCAGTTTGCAATGAGGAAAACTCTAGCCAAGGCAACAGCCTTAGCCTTATCTTGTTTGATTTCAAACTATGACAGGATTGAACCCTGGAACTTCAGGTTAGCCAGCAAGCGTATAACTCACTAAGCCACAGCCGGTCTCTGTTTAGGTCAAAAAAAAAATGTCTTTACTACCTACCAAACGACCATAAATACCAGGAATTTCTCCTTGTCGTTTCTGTTTCATCAAAGCTTTTATCACTTTTCCTTTATTCATATCAGCCTGCATAGAACTTCGTGAGACTTCTAACTTTTCTCTTAGCTCTCGTACCTATAGTTATATTACATATATAGTAGAATAAGACAATGATCAAC